ACTGATTTTAAATTTGCCATGAAGAGAGTGAGTGAGTTAAATTTAAAGTCACTTTGGCAATATTTCAGCCATATCGTGACTAAAAGAACATATATATTAACAATAATTAAAGATAGAGTATAAAATCCTGTCAACGAAGGACAGTAAAACAACTAGAATATCACAGATATAACTGTATAACTAGTAATTATTGCCATGAAGAAAACTCACATCTGAAGGTCCAGCTTAGAATTAGGTCCTTAAATGGCGCGATACACATAAGGAAGAGACTGACTGACTGAGTTTAGTTTTACGCCGCTTTTAGCAATATTCCAGCAATATCACGGCGGGGGACACCAGAAATGGGCTTAACACAATGTGCCCATGTGGGGAATCGAACCCGGGTCTTCGGCGTGACGAGCCAACGCTTCAACCACTAGGCTACCCCACCGCCCCATAAGGAAGAGAGTTTTTACGGATGTCAACGCATCATAAAGAAGTTGACATCCAGAAGAACTCTCTTCCTCAGCTTAGAATTGTTCGTCAGTGTTGTCCATGTCTCGCTGTGAAGATCTGAATCTCAAAGGGGTGGTGGGGCAGCCTAGTGGTTAAACAGTTTGCTTTTCACGCCGATTGCCCAGTTCGAGTCCCCACATGGGTACAATGTGTGAAACCCATTTCTGGTGTCCCCTGCCGTGATATTGCTGGAAAATTGCATAAAGCAGCGAAAAAACCAAACTCACTCACTCACTCACTCACTCACTCACTCACTCACTCACTCACTCACTCACTCACTCACTCACTCACTCACTCACTCACTCACTCACTCACTCACTCACTCACTCACTCACTCACTCACTCACTCACTCACTCACTCACTCACTCACTCACTCATACTGAATGTTGAGTAACTGATGCTTGTCATAAGAGTCGATTACTTCATCTGGTGGTAAAGCTAGCTGATTGGTTGACACGTGTGATCGTATCCCTATTTTGTAGATCGACGACCATGATGTCAACCACTTAACCAAGGCTTGATTGTTGTTAGAACATATTTCTATTCATGAAATGAATTGGGATCGGTGAACAAGCTTTACAGCTTTAGTGAACACCGGTCCGATACAACAAATAACACAAAATGAAATGAAGGATGTGATGTCATCGATGTTGACTATTATATAATAGGCAAGTACCGTGTTTCACAATCAGAATCAATTGCCGGTGATATCTTAAATGAACTAGCTACATTAGCTATTCATGGCGTTGAAGTGAAAAACATGCTACATGGAAAAGAAAATGGTTAATTTTTTTTATTATATAGGATATTTATATAGCGCACATATCCACACAACTAGTGCATGCTCAAGGCGCTGATATTTTTTCCCTCGATCATTGGATGTCAATTTCAACGTCACATCGTATTATCAATCTCAACTCCCTGGGGAGCATTCAACTCTTGCTGCCACTAGGCGTAAAGAGTTATTGTGGCTTTCTCATCCTAACGAGGTACCCATTCACAGCTGGGTGGACTGGGACACATAGTCACAGTACTTTGTCCAAGTTCACTGCAACTAGGTGTTTGCATGTATTCATGTGGCCACCATCTGGTCATATACCAACGGATTCATGGGCTCTTTTAAGTGCACAGGGTTGTGTACTGTACACTAGAGGTTGTGACAACACTGAAAGAGTCTGCACACAAAGTGCACTCCAAGGTTTTTTACACCCGATCACAGGTGGGCTCGATCCCGGCACCTCAAGCTCGCTGGATCAGTAGCCAGCGCACCCACCGCTCCCCATTATGAGGTTATGTTGTAGTTTGTGTCAGGCAGAAAAGACAAATCTAAACTCGACAACAGTATGGGCGGACAAAGGTTATTTGATATGAATACCCGGATTTTAAAAATATAGTGGGTATCAAAAAGTATGATACCCACTTGAAATTGGAATTACCCACTCAGTTTCAAAAGTATGGGTATCATACCCACATGGCCAAAAGCTTATCTGGAGTTCTGGAATAATTTATACATATAAGTGTTGGGAATTGGTTGAAATCTCACAATTGATGATTGCTTCATTACCAACGAACAATCATCGAAAAAAATTGGTTAGCGTCATTTTTCAGATTTTCCTATCCAGGTTGTTATTGCAGATATGTATAACATGATTGCAACTTGCTACTTTAAAGTGATGACTTATATATCATGAACATAAACTTTCTGGAGTCTTCAAGAAATATTCAGTCATGGCTTTTCAGTTAGTGAACTGAGTCTTCTAAGAATTAAACACGTTTTCAGGACCTGACAACTTCTAAGAGATGTTCCATTGTCAAGTATTTCAAAGACTAAAAAAGTAGTTCAATAATCGTTTATGTTCGATTAGGAGACAGTGTTTCCGTTCTCCGGTATATACCTGAAAATCGGCGGTAAAATTTGTTGGGGACCGTTAAATTGAAAGCCAGCAGGACACCGTGTCCGGTAAATAATCATGGATTAAAATAAAATCATCATGGGTAAGCTAAATGACAGTCTTGGCTGTGCTTTCATGGTCACAAAAACTTATGTTTCGGAAATACCCAGGCTAAAAATAACTTTAAAATGAGTACTTACAGTATGGTAATAGGATATGACCGGCAAATTTCATTCATGACCGGTAAAATTTTAGGTCACCAGACACAGTGTCCGATAAATAATGAAGGCAGCGGAAACACTGGGAGAAAATGTGATCGATTGCTTGGTCGTTTGGTCACTGCGACCAATCTTCGATTATTTCAATTAATCGGAACACCACTAATACATATTACATCCAATACAAATACAAGTATTATCTAAGTGAACATAAATAGAGAGTCATGTGTTTGTGTGTGTAATAAGCCATTTGTAAAAACATAAATCAATCTCTAATCATAAAAGTATTTATCTCAAATTGATATTATAAACTATAGGGTAGCCTTGACACGACTGCGATTATCTTCTCATTCACTTATGATTGAGAAAGGAAGATGGGGTCTACCAAAACTAGCTTTAGAAAACCAATTATGTCCTTTTTGCAAAAATGACATAGAGGATGAATATCATGTTATCATGGTTTGTCCTAAGTACTTGACATTTAGACGTCGCTACCTACCTCTGGACGTATACAAGTCTCCAAACATGATGAAGTTTATAAGTCTTTTTCAAACCAAAGTTGAAGTATTAACCTTCAACTTAGCCAAATTTGTTTATCATATATTTCAGGTAAAGCAAAACTATAATCTGAATTATCCATGAATGTTGTTTCCTTTTAAGTGCTATCTTCTGTCATGAAAGGTCTTTGCAAGTGGGTTGGGTTGGGAGGGGGGAGGCAAATGTTGGCAATGTGCTTTTGAAAGTATGTATGATGTATTTGTCATGTTGGCCGTTGGCATATTAAAGAAATAAACATAAGAAGGATGTTGTTAGTTATTTGATTATTTTTCTGTGATAATTTATTGGTTGAATATTTCCATATGAGACAAACAAACAAAATTGCTTGACCACCTCTGTGGCCGACTATGAAGAGCATCTTCCTATCGGAGAGAGGAGTGAGTGAATTTAGTTTTACGCCGCTTTTAGCAATATTACAACAATATCACGGCGGCTCGGAAGGAGGAAGATCCGTGGTTCAGTACTCAAGCCACATACCAAAAGGTGTTAATGGATGGGACTTCTTTGAATGGCATTTTTAGAAAGTTGGAGATAGAAGGCCAAACTTAAAAGATGAACAACTTCTTTATACAGGTGATTTATACAGGTGATGCCACAGGTCAGGGAAAAGTCAGGGAAGAAATTATTTTTCAAGATCAATTTTGTTACCTTTGGAAAAAGTCAGGGAAAATTGCCTTTGGTCAGGGAAAACTAGTTCCTTTCAGACTTGACAGGCAAGGATTGTATGATTTTGAGTTCCATGTCTGTATTAAATGTGTTTTTGTATAGTGATTGGTATTATGAACTTTAATTTACTTGTTTTGGCACTGTCCATTTGTAGACATAGTTTGGAATAACTTCCATGGATGGTTGACACAGAAATGTGACCAAATATTCAATCTCAAGTTCTCTGCTGAACTTTTTATATTTGGGTGTGACTCAAATACTGTCATCTGGTACTGTTTTTGACCTCTTAATATCAATGGCTATATTCTTTGTGTATCTCAGGGGGTAAAACCACACATTGATGGTTTTAAGAAAGTTGGTGAACAGAGGTATTCTATTGAGACAATTAGTTTCTTAAGCAGAAATAAACTCAATAAAGTTTACACAAAGTTTGCATTCTGTCATCCACTCTTCACTGAATTCAGCCAGAGTATAAGTGAAAAGCAGACACAGTGAAAAGTTAGCAAATTATTTTAAACTCAAAACAGTATTAGTATGAATGTGAGAGTGAATGAGGTTTTTTTTAGAAACAGGGGTTCAATTTGTTTTTAAAAAGCCACTTGCCACAGGGCAAGTGACTCTAAGAAAGTAACTTGTCCTGACTAATTATCCACTTGCCCTGATTTTATGACATATATAATTATGATGATGTAATTATGAAAGAAGAAATCAACATTGTATTTGATGTTAATGTTTACTGGACTATTTATTGAAAAGTGATAAATAGCAAAGAAAGATAACTCTACTTTATTATCATTGCGAAATTTAAAAGCTACATTTTGAGCCGATATGAAATTAAATCAAAGTTTATTTGCAGTTTGAAACCATAAGCAGAAATTATCTAGTAGCCCACAGACAATTAAGATACCATTATTTGATTGCCTGAAATGAAAACTGACTTGTCCCGGGCGTCGGGCGATGGGATTTTTGAACCCCTGAGAAATGTCAGAATTTCTACCAGTAAGACTTCATACTGTCCAAATGTGAGTCAACCTTTTCCTGGAGCCAGGAGGTGACTTTCTGACAATAAAAACAATGAAATAAAACAAAATTCAAAATTCTTATGTCAGGGTTTGCCAGAGGTAATATTTCTGTGTCAGACCACTCATCTTCTGTACTCGTCTGTTCCAGGTGCCTGTATGAGCATCGTGTCCGCCAACGTCCAAACCTGTCGTTCTGTCCGGGACCTGGCCTACGATGTGATGAATGCTCGTCACCGGGAGAGAATAGCTCTGTGTACCGAGTCGATGGACCGGGCGTCGTCACAGCTTCAGGACATCATCATGAGCTACAGTATCGACGATGCCTCCTCGGACACGACGTCATCAACCGTGTCATCGACGACTTCTAGATAGATCACTTGTTGAAATCATTCTTCTTCTAAGTCAAAGACAATGACAACATGATGTTGATACCCAAGTCAGTCAATAATCTCAAAGTTGTACAACTACAATAGTCATTTAATCTATGTTATGAGTTCTTCTGATATTTGATTTTAATTGAGAATTTGTAATGTCAGCAATGAATTTGTTCAACAAAATGTCCCACAACAAAGGGGGAAGGAGTTATTTGGTAACTGAACAAAGATGTCCCATCTAATCAAAGATGAGATACATGAACCTCTTGCAGTCATTCTAGGCAAGATTAAGAATGGAATGAACCCTAGGGTCATCGCTAAATATCAGTCATGATGGGGAGGAGGGTTCCATAAATTTTTCTTGTGGAGGAGAATACTTTTTTTCTGTCACTGTTTTAAAATCTTTAGGTTTTTCTTTGTGAAAAGATGCACCAGATAAATAAGAACGGGACGGTTGGTCGTGAATATTGACACCCAATAACCGTGGCCAGGTCTTCAAAGGACATATTATAAGTTGTTCACTGGTCTCGAGGGGGACATGGGCTGATGTACCCTCGATGTTTCTTTATGTTCTGAGCCCGAAGGGTACATCAACCCATGGGCCCCGAGAGACCAGTGAACAACAAATTTATCTTACCAAACACCTCAATGGTAATTTTTTAACTCTTTGAAGCATGGGTATTGGATCATAGTGTGAAGTACAAGACGACAAGATAAACAAATTTAGAGTTATCTCCCTTCCATCGATTTGCATTCGCAAAACATCGGTAATTTCCGTACACCATACGTGTTTCAAATGTTATTCGAGATAAAGAATTACTACTACGAAGTACCAAATGAGTTCGGCATTCCCAGCGGCGTACATAGAAATAGTTACTCGCTTGTAAGCAGGGTACACTGAAAATGATAGAAGAGCGCTCAGCCAGTCAGAAACAACATTTAACACTGATGCTATTTTAGAAACGTCTGAGAGGACCCTGTCCTGGTGAACTTCCTCCAGTGTTTGTAAGGGACCTAGGGCTGGCTCAAATTATTGATAATCAGAAAAAAAATCGTCCATAGGAAACATTTTTTATGATTATCAGTGTGAAAATTGTGTTATTGATAATATCGTACATTCACTTTTGTGACAGAAAACAGAAAATTTATCACACAATATACACATGTAAGATTTTATTCATGGTGTGCTTCTAAATTATGTTAAGGACGCTGTTTTGTTAATCATCCATGAAAAAATGTCATCACTCACTAGTGATGTGAAATGATATTCACATTTTTGGCATTTTTGTGCAAAGTTATACCTCTGATATGTAACGATAATGGATCAATATGTAGTTAAAGATTATCAATCTCTATGTAACAATAGCCAGCCCTAAAGGGAGTACTGGCTATTTTTCTTGCCTGATCTGCAATTCTGTTTAGTTTATTCTCACCTTGGCTGATCAGAGGTTTAAGCCATGCTTGAATAGAGAAACTTAAAACGCTTTGGATAAAACAAATGTAATAGAAATATGAAAGCTTTGTTTCAGCTTGAAATGCACATTATTTTCTCATAAAGTATATTTATTTTCAACAGCACATTTTCATTGATCATGTCCAGTGAACATATTATTGGGGCAAAAAACCTGAACAAGTTAACTGCTTTTATTTGGCTCTTGTGAAACTACACTTACCCTATGGATTCATTCCCAGGCTTCTCACAATTTCAGATTACCTGTCCTTGATTTTTGGAAACGTTAAATCAGGGATTTACAGGACGCGAATTCCTGCGTCATACACGCATAATAATGGACAATGGACGCAACAAAATTTATTAGCGTGTCCACAGGGACTCAGACAAAGTCCAAATACTTTTTTGTTAAAATTCCAATCAAGTGACAATAAGTTATCACTGAGTTTGCTACTAGCTGGGTTATGGTATTATTTGCAATTTAATTACTGTAATAATGTGACGATCATGATGCACAATACAATAACAGTATTAATAATAATATTTAAGTGTCTGGGACCCACATTTTGTTGTCCAGGAACCATGATAATTAAGGGTATCAGTCCTAGGGACTCTCAAATGCAGGAGTCCATGTAAATCCCTGATTAAATGACAAATCAAACATTCAGATGTGGAAAAAAGAAACGGGGCTGCCAGTTTTAAGCCATGCTTCCCCTCGAAAGATTTTTTAGTGCATATTTTTGTGTGTCCTGAATTTTCAAGTTTGTATTATGTGGGACTAGGTGCCATATTGTCAATAACGAAACATTGAGTCTGGTTTGTAAACTCTCATTCAGATTGGTCTATTACAGGATGCTTATCTTGATACAACATTTCACAACATCTTGCTTCAATCCCATAAAACAGAACCAAGAGTTGGTCTCTCCGCCAGGTTAACAATCAGCGTTACTTCTCTTTGCATCTCTTTCTCTTTCATCACAATGTTGTATTTTTCTGCTACAAATTAACAATCTTATCTTCATGAAGTTACCGCCGGCCTCCTTCCCTCAGGTTAATCCATTGTTGCTCCAGGGCAAATATATTTATATTGCTCTGTCCATGTTAAGGTTGTAACGATAGAGCTGAAATATTGACATCTTTGCAACCAATGTATGCTTGAAAACTAGTCTCTCATGCTGTTAGTTGTTGTGCAGGTATGTTGTTGCTAAGGCAGGCTTGTTGTTGCTGACACAGGTATCTTGTTGCTGACACAGGTATGTTGTTGCTAAGGCAGGTATGTTGTTGCTGACACAGGTATCTTGTTGCTGACACAGGTATGTTGTTGCTGACACAGGTATCTTGTTGCTGACACAGGTATGTTGTTGCTAAGGCAGGTATGTTGTTGCTGACACAGGTACGTTGTTGCTAAGGCAGGTATGTTGCTGACACAGATACGTTGTTGCTAAGGCAGGTATGTTGTTGCTAAAGCAGGTATGTTGTTGCTGACACAGGTAAGTTGTTGCTAAGGCAGGTATGTTGTTGCTGACACAGGTACATTGTTGCTAAGGGAGGTGTGTTGTTGCTAAGGCAGGTATGTTGTTGCTAAGGCAGGTATGTTGTTTCTGTTTGAAGTTTGGTAAGGCAGGTGTGTTTTACCTGAGGCAGTAGTGTTGTTACAACAGGTACATAGTTGGCAGGGATGTTGAAGGCAGGGATGTCGTTGCAGAGGCAGGAATTTTCTTTTCTGAGGCAGGTATACTGTTGCAAAGGCAGGTGCTGTTGCTGATGTTGTGTGTTGTTGCTGAGGCAGTTGTGCTGATCCAGAGACAGGGACGTTGTTACTGAGGCAGGTATGTCTATTGACAGCTAAGTTACTATATACTTAGAGCTGTTACCTCGCTGTGATACCGATAAATATACTCAAAAATTGTTCCCCGATCAGTCAAGACTGAACACAAGATGTATTTTCAATATAGGAGCCTATTTAGCTAACAATGAGAAGTCTTCAGAATGCTAAATTGTACAATTCATTGCCATGATATTGAGGATTTGAAATAAGTATTTGAATCTGGGAGGTTTCTGTACCTGATTTGTTGATTAATTATATCCACTACACCTCATATTGAACTCGTGTATTAATGGGGGTTGGGGGAATGTAGTTTATCGTCTAAAATTGTTGTACACAGGATTTAAGGCATGGGTGAGATATTTTGTCAAACTGCAAGCAAGTTCTCTTTGGAGATGCAGTGAAAAACCATCTCACTGTCTTGCAGAGTATTATCACTTCAATCTCTACCATGACTGGGGCGGTGGGGTAGTCTAGTGGTTAAAGCGTTGGCTCGTCACGCCGAAGACACGGGTTCGAATCCCCACATGGGTACATTGTGTGAAGCCCATTTCTGGTGTCCCCCGCCATGATGTTGCTGGAATATTGCTAAAAGCGGCGTAAAACCAAACTCAGTCAGTCATTCTTTCTCTACCCTGACCAGTAGTTGTACTTTTTACCAGATAGCCAGGGGTTATTTCAATTTAAAACTGTGAAAGGGACAACAATTTTGGGTGATAAATGGAATCTCATCCTCCTTTGTCTAATTAAATAAGCCAATACTTATTGAAATTTAGAGCTACTTGGCTTAAACTTTTATAGACACATGTAGATATCAAGATGAGATATACTATGGATAAACCTGAAGCCTCTGTGAGAAAATTTATACCACAATAGTTTATTATCATATTATTGTTGATACAATTTTCACATTGATAATTATTAATAATTTTCCCAATCAATGATATTTCCGATAATCAATATTTTTTAGCCAGCCCTAGTTTCTTAGCTTTGACATTGACAGCTCTGCAATGTCTCCGTTCGTGATGATCAGAGTATCTAGTGAAATATCAACATGCATTACATTGCCTAAGTCAAGCTTCTCCGTTTTTTGCGTTGTTTTGGTTTCCTGTATCTAGTCAGTGATGGTTATTCCTCTGTATAGACATTTGTTGTAGTATGTGCAGTTATATTGATGGGTGTTAGAGTTTGAGACCTTTAATAGATGGTAAACATTTGCTTTTTGCACATCTATGTCAGTATTCCACAGACAGACGCCAAGAAAATATATCACACAAATTAGGAGACTTTATATTTATTGTGTCAAGTTCACAAAGCTGACAGCTGACATACAAACAAGTTTCCACAATGTTTACACTTATCACAGGGCTCCAGATAAGATGCGTATCCTTGTAAATTACGCATGGATAATTCAGATACATGTATATGCATAAAAAGTCAAATCAATGAGTGATAGATACGTATAACTTTCTCAGAATACGAGTCAGATTTTGTTTACATGCGTGAACCAAACCTGTGAAATATTGTTTCAGTCCTACACATCCGATTCTTAAGATCTCGAATAGTGTTGGTTGTCTGTATTGAAGCGAACATTGTCGAGTTTTTCCGTTTGGTCTCCATTAATATTTCTTATCCATGTTCGGTTCACAATTTGTTTAAAGCTAGCCCTTAAACAGCGGTACTATCACAAACATACAAACAAGTTTCCACAATGTTTACACTTATCACAGGGCTCCAGATAAGATGCGTATCCTCATAAATTACGCATGGATAATTCAGATATATACATAAAAAGTCAAATCAATGAGAGATAGATATGTATAACTTTCTCAGAATACGAGTCCGAGTTTGTTAAACAGCGCTATCACAGCGTTTCCGGTCCTTATCCATACTAATACAGCTGTAGATCAGCTCAACACACATTGTCATTTATTTCCTGTCATCTGCAGTAACAATGACTAACCAAAAGGAAAACTGTTTTATTTAGCAAGGAGAAGTAATAAAACCATGCAACCTCTGAAATACTCCTACTTTTATTTCCATTTGGTATTTTACTCCTCACTTTTATGTTTGAGGAATGAAATAAACCAGAGTCAAATAATTATCTGGAGCCCTGTTATCAGAGGGGGACTCAAAGTCTGGTCTAGACCACCAGTTGTCTGACATCCATTTTAGTGGCAGCTGTGGTGGCTGAGTGGGCTAGACGGCTGACTTTGTGTGCTGGCAATTGGGTGCCTGACTCTCAGGGTGTGGGTCCCAGATGGGACTCAACCCAACAAAGGTACAACTATCTGTACTTTACTGAGAAAGTGTAATCCCAAATGTAGCAATTTCATCATCTCCTTACAAAGAGTTCCAAGCCATATGCCTTTCAGTGAGAGAAGTAAGACCTGTTATTGCTTGCTCGTCTGGAGAATTTAGTTTAAAAAAGAAAATCATAGAGGATACTGTGTACTGTCTGGAATCTCTTTCGCTAATTCTACTTCAGATTTGTGTTTAAGCATCATCATCAGTTTTCCAATGTAATGATATTTTAGTTTGATATACTACACAACTTTTCAAACGGAGAACTATGTCATTTTATACAGATACACGCTTGGCATAAGGATTTGTTTTGTGTATCATGGGAAGATGAAGTTATCCTTATCAATAATTGAATAATATATAGACACTATGCTTTTGTTTTTAGTCTTCATATCAGTTGAGCTGGACAGCTGCCTTTTGTCACACTGATCACTTCCCTTTAAATCAAGCTTGAGTTATCTCCCTTTGATGCATTATTACCTCCCTTGCCTTATAGGGAACCCTACTGATGTTTGTATCACAAGAACAGTCAAATCACTGAAATCGAGTATTCGGAATTGTTGTCTGACTTAGTTTGGTTCACAAACAATCCTGATAAACAGGATGTCCTTAACTGTGTTTGTGTTTTATGGTTAAGTCTGGCAGAAAACTTTTTGTGACCGTGTTTGTTCACTTTACTTAAAAACTACAAGTACAATCGTTTTCTTATTTGGCATGATGCATTGTAATTGTTCTATAATTAATTTCATGATTTCATTACACAGTTCACTATTTGTTATGAGGGAGGAGTGCAGAGAGAGGAACAGCCAGCTGTGCCATTGATTCATTTACCTGTGCTGGGCCTTTTCGCTGACCTGGCAGTTCCTCTCTCTGCACTCCTCCTTCGTAGCAAATAGTGAACTGTGTCAATATTTTATTGATTGTTTGTTAAACAACTGTTTGATTATTAAATCATAATTCATGAAATTATAAATTCACAATGGTAGAACAATTATAATGCGTCATGCCAAATTAGAAAACGATTGTACATGTAGTTTTTGAGTAAAGTGACCAAATACTTTCATGAAAGGTTTTCTTCAAGACTATATAAAGAACATCTCAAGAATGAGAACTAGATATGTTTGTAATCCTTGTATTTCTAACAATATGGATCTATTTACATTTTAACCTGTTCTCTTTCCTACATGTTGTGTCTTTATTGTTTTGGCAGGTGAATCTTTATCTTGATCACCGATGCTATCAAAGATTTCCTGTTGTATAATGTTAATCATTTGTCAGGAAAAATGTATATTTATTCAATGCCACACCAAAACATCAGGAAGTTATCAGGAAGATAGCATGTACATTTGGTCTTGCAGGGGCAATTTACCAAAGTATCACGTACAGTGCCTGAACATTTACTTTGAACTATACCTGGGCGCACTGAACTGAAAATGAAAGAAATATGTAAATGTGTTTTCAGGGTAATGTTTCACAAAATGTGACATTATTCCAAAAAAGTATAAAATGCCAAAGTCCCCAAAGTTGGGTTGTTTGTTTTGTAATTTATTAATATGACCCCACAATATTTTCTGGAACACATGGGCATGTGTAGCCTTGAAGTGTCACATGTATATTATGTTAAACATATTCTCAGTATTAGTTCTCAAATGTTTGGAGAGGTTCATCAAAGCAATAAACTTACGAAAGCCTCCAGACTCCCTTAATAATAATCAAGACATATTTTGTGTGCACTGTTTAGTGACTGCGAGCGAGTGTATCGTGCAGTGCGGGAGCGAAATGTTGTAAATGGAGATTCGAGGCCAGGGAATCTTTCATGCTTTCCAATGCTCAGGAATGTTTATGATAAGTTTCTTTTTTCTCTCAATCCAAACTTTCAGAAATAACATCCATTATTCTTTTCAAGTCAGCAAAATGTGATCAAAATCTATCAGAAAAAATTATGATTTGATTTTCATATTTTTTAACCAGGCTAGTTATGTAATCATGGAAACTTGATGTTATAGTTCTTTAGGTTGATGACATGTGTGGCTGATTATTTTTACAGTGTTAGAATGCTTTTATTTCCAAGTGAAATTTTGAGGCGATGAATACTCTGTAGAACTTGTAAATCGTAAAACGTGTTATCTCCTTATCAAACATACCAGAGTTTATGAATAGACAATGCCATTTAGTAAGTGGTCAGATGTAACATGTTATATTTGGGATTACAGTTTCTTAGTGAAGTACAGATTATAGAACTTTGTTGGGTAGAGTCCCATCCGTGGAAGCCATGGTGGCTGAGGTTAGGCGGTTGACTTTGTGTGGTGGTGATTACGTGCCTGACTCTGAGGGTGTGCTTTAAAATCCTGAATTGACTCAACCCCCAAAAAAGTTTTAGGATCTGTACTTTACTCATCCTCGATAATCTCCACGGTATACGTTATGATCACTCTCCACTATACCATGGATGCATCGACGGCTTGGGGCGAGGATTTTATTACGTCCCTTGGCTGGCTCGGCATTCTCACAGTAGCCAATCAGCTAAGCCGCCGTTACAACCAAGCTTGCCAGTGTCATCAAGGATAGCGGTCGCAGTCGCGAAGGTTTGTTCGCAGTGCCACTCAGATTTTTTGGGAAATAATAAAGACAAATTGACAGATCTGAAACTTTAAAAAAATATATGACAGAATTCCTTCTACTTCTTTCAGAGTACCTCTGCATCAATTGTGTTCCCAAGTTTAAACGGTTAGATAATTTAAGAAGCGAAAGTGAGTTGTGATTGGTACGCTCAACTTCCCAGCGTAGGCACCTGACTGGATAAAAAGCCAGCCAAGGGAGATAATAAAAGCATAGCCCCAAGCCGTGGATGCATCCAGGGTATAGTGGAGAGTTATCGTAACTTATACCCTGGAGATTATCGAGGATGTACTTTACTGAGAAACTGTAATCCCATATATAGCATGTTACCAGAGTTGATGTTTGAGTCATTTGAGTTTTGTTTAGTCGAGAAGTGTCTGTTGTCGTGTCCCCTGCATGATAGGGCGGGCTACCTTACCTCATTCCCTGTTCAAGTTGACTGAA